TTGTAGTTGTATGTTAGTTGTGGTTATACTCCATCTGGACTAGTCACAGCACTGACAATCATTTTAGCTAATATTTAACCGGTGGGTCCTGTGAGCTGGGCACAGGACTAAGAACTTGGCATGCACGATCTCATACAACCCCTCGCTATGCCACAAGGCAGGAACTACACCCTTCTTACTATAAAGAAACTGACATGTTGAACTGAACTTGGTACATGGAATGAGGGAGGAGTCTAGCCTTATTTTCCCATACTATTCCAACATTATATACTAAACAATCTTCTCCCCGCTGATCTGAACATCACATTCGGCATATGCTACCAATTTCCCTTTTTATATAGGATCTGCTCCTGGAATTTCTCTTTTTTTCCATTGAGCGGCATGTCCTCATTCCATTCCTCCCTGTTTTGGAGGGATCGTTATAATAAATACATATGTAAATAAATGCTTTGTAATTAAACTCATCACTGGAGCTTTATAATGTATTTTGCTATCTGGGTTTGCAGATCCAGGCTATTCTTTTCTTCCCAGACTTTTTGTGACTTGCTTCATACATTAATTTTTTCAGGTGACTTTGCGCCACATAAATTCATTGTGTTCAAATTAAAAAAAACAAATCTTACATATTCTTACTCAAATTGCATAAAATGTAAACTTACAGGAGGCATTTTACTGCATTAGGTTCTTAATGTGGTGTGTTTCACCATTTACTTAAGTCTCTTAGTGTAGTTTGGCAGTTTTTATGAGTGCTGTGCACTTCCTGCAAACTTTACTCCTTGCTGGTGGTGTAATGGGACCTTTTGCCTTCCAGGCCTTCCAGCGGTGTTTGCTGCCCGCCCGTCCCAGATTCAAGGAAAGCCAAACACATGAGGGCAGTAAAGCACCTGACCCGTCGAGCCCCTGGCCATGCCTGGGCCCAGCAGACCCCAGAGCCCAGGAAGAGCAGCCCCCAGCAGGCGAGTGCACCTACAGGTGGGGTCGCACGTGGGCTTGAAGGCTTATCCTAAAGTAATGATTCTTACTGCTTAGGGTCAGAGACGGTCTGGGGAAAACTATGAGCTCTTTTTCAGAAAAATGCTTCATATGCTGCCAACACTTCCAGAAGGAATCATGGACAGCCCAGAACCCATCAAGGGCTGAAATTAACACCCGTGCATCAACAGGATGGTCCAGCTACGGATTCCTTCATGTGAGGGGTGCTGAGGACTGTCCTTGAGTCTGTGTGACCTTGAGTGAGTCACTTCCTGCTGTGAATCTTTATTTTCTCCAGGAGAACAATACTGCCCAGCCCAGTTATAGCATCAACTTTGGGGAATCAAGTGAGGTCATGTTTGTCAAAGTGCTTTGAAAACTGCAGCTAAGTAACACAAAGGTAAGAGACAATCAATGCCAGGGAGGGGAATATAATGAGGCCCATGTCTGATATGTGGTAAAGGCATCTGAGTTTCTTAGAGAGCGTTATCAGCTCTCATGCCTCCACTGCCCCCTGTGAACTTGGCCTTCGCCCTCAGGAACGGCTGATAAAGGCCTCTGCGACTCTACACTTTGCAGGCACTTCTGAGACTGTTATGCTGATGCAGCTAAAACCACGATTTAGTGGCTGGATGTTGGAAAAGATGTGTTGGGGCTCGTGGTTCACAGATAACAGTTTCTGGGTTGTTATAAAGATTAATATTTAATCCTTTCCTGCACACTGGAGAATAGCTGGGAGCCTCAGAGAGGCCTCACAGGGGGTGATGGGGAGCAGGACTGACTGACAGGCACCTGCTGAGTCCCGGCTCGGTGTGACCACAAGGCTGGCCCTCCTCTCTGACCCTGGGGTCCCCACTGTAAAATGAGGGGCTACACCCCGTGAAAGTGAATTTGGAGCTGAAGAATTCTGCAAAATGTAGTAACAATTGAACTGCCTTACAAGAGACTTTAAAGGCTTTCCAAGCTGTCTTCCTGCTCCCAGCCGCTGATACCATCTGACCCCATGCCCCAGTTTGAACTTCAGGCTCCAGACATATCAGCCTGTGTGTGTGTGGTGTGTGTGTGTGTGTGTGTGTGTGTGTGTGCGCGCGCACACGCGGCAGGTTGGGCTAGCAGAAAAGGGCAAAAAAGTATGTCACTCTCTCTAAACACAAATGGCTGCTCCCTTCTGCCCAGGAGAAGTCTGAACGGGAAAGTGGCTTGCACGCTGGTCGATCCGCACTTTCACATCCCCAGACTCTCCAGGGTGGAGGGCAGACGGCAGGGCAGCAAGAGGATTAGCAGCAATATTTTGAACACGCTGCTCTCAAAGACACCTCCCCACGGGCGCTCCTGCTTGGAGGGCAGGAGGGAAGCGCTGCCCTCTCTTCCTGCTCTCTTTAGAGGGTGAGCCACACGGATGGACACGTGGAATGCCTATCTCACTTCCCAGGTCCTGGCTCAGTGGCTACAGCTGGAGCGTAGTAAGAGACTCAAGGCCTTCCTCCGCACTTTGCCCAAATCTTCTCGGATCCTCTCTGCTCGCTCTCTGCCCATTTGGGTGTCTCCTCTCCCTGCGGCTTCTGCTCAGCTTGCACCTGCCTGGGACCCCTCCCACGGACCCCTCCTTTCTCCCCAGGTTTGCAACCCCAGCCTTGTGTCCCTGTGTCTGCTCATCCCACTGAGAAGGTGCCAGCATGTGCTCTCTGTTACAGGGCAGGAAGGACTATTCATTGAGCAGCATTACAGATTATCTTTGTCATGCCTGTAAAAAAAGGCACACACTGCCGTGATGAGCAAGTTGTGGCTGCTGATTCCTATAATAAATCTAGTGAATACTGTCACAAGCTCCACCTGGTGGGGTAGTAAGAGGAGCATTCGATAGGCTAATTAATTGACTGGTTTGGGGTAAATATTCAGTGAATTCAAAATTCAGCTCTAATGAGCCATTACCCATCCTGGTCCCCTTGGGAACATGGCATCCAGAAAGTTAGCGGTCCTCACGTCATTGTTCAGGGTAGTGGGTGGGCACAGATCCCCAGCTGGCCCTTGCATGGCTCTCTGCTCTTGGTGACTGTCTGACCCATGAGCTAAGCTGGCTCAGTGTGTCTCTGGCCCTCCCAGGGACGCCTTGCTGCTGGCATCCACGGCAGGTGTAACCCCCGGTTGATGCTCTTGGCACAGACAACCCATGGGCCACCTCCTCTGTTCCCAAAAGCTCTGGTGACCTCCAAGCATGGCTCTGACTCCCATCCAGCCCCAGGCCCACGTGTAGCCCTATGCCTCCAGCCACATTCCTACCGAACATCCCAGGGGACTTGCGGGAAGCTGGGTCCCCTCCAGTGCCTTCTACAGCATGTGGCGCCAAGGACTTTGAGAATGTCAGACCCGCTACTCCCACCCCTACGCTGCCACAGGCCCTCCACAGCTTCCCTTCCCCGAAGCTGCTCCCACCACCAGAGTTTGACATGGGAGCAGGACACAAAGGGCTCCCCTGCACTTCCCCTTCCCCTCAGTCTCTCCAGCTTGCCCCCCGGCTCTGGAGCCAGAAGCCCAGTATGCAGGAGTCTGACCACCAGTGCCCCCAACCTCAGCCCATCTTCGTCCCACGATTCCCTGGCCCAAAGTGGGGGGCTCTTCTTGATTTACCGTTAACCTTGGTAGCCCTCACGCCCTCGCCACCAGACAGTGGTCCACCAGGAGCCTGTTAGAAATATGGGCTCGCAAGCCCCACCCTGGACCTACTGAAAGGGAGTTTGCAGTTTAACAAGACACGCAGGTGATTCCCGCGGAGGTTGATGTTTGCCCAGCAAAACTGCTTACGGCACATCCGGGGTGCTTTCTGCCCTTACCTGGTGTCAGACTGCATAGTCCACTCTCTTCGCCTCTGCTCCTGGCCCGCCATGTCCTAACGAGAAATCCTTTTCTCTCTTGCCAAAGCCCAACTCGCAGACACAGTAGACTCAAAAATATTGCTAGGTGTTTTGGGCATCACAAACTGAACTGTGATGTTTGCTTTTTCTAGGTATTTTTACTCTTATAATCCTAATCCTCCCCAGGGCATACTTCTCAAAAATAGGACTGGGGAAAATAAAAAGGCAAAGATACAGAGCCGTGAAAGAGGAAAACACACTAACATGTTTCAAAAGCTGCTCTCCCATTACAATGGCTTTTGCCGACTTGATCAGGTGATGCCAGCAGCCTGCACGGAGGGGAGGGGCAGGAAGAGCCCTGGGCCTGGCACTGCTGCAGTCATCCAGGAGGGTGCTCCTATCCCCACAGTGTCCCCTTTGCAAGTGTGCAAAACAGAGTGCCTCTCACCTCAGCACCCAAGTGGGTCTTTCCTGATCAAGTGCCCTGCCTTTATTTTGTGGGCCTATAGGGGTAACTAAGCATTTTCCCCTTTTGCTTGGGCTGTTAGGAAGCTTAAAGCCAAACTTGTAGCCCAACAATGCTAAATGTGTAATTATGGATGATCCTCACACTGGACTCTTTGCTGGCCCCATCCTTCCTCCTGATTTAATATGTGCATTTTATTAAAACCTTTTTTCCCTATAAGCTGCTTTTAATCTTTCCTGAAGCCAAGTTGGATAGATTTGTGGGCAGGTACAGTTCTAGGTCCCTGACTTGTCTTCCACTCAATCTTCACTGGTTTTACTGTCTCTTTTTTCCAGATGAGGAAACTGAGGTTCAGGGAGGTTAAACACGCCAGCCAGAGACCCGGCAGCTGCCGAGTGTCAAAGTCAGGTGTTTCAGCTTCTGGCTTCAGAGTTTGACCCCCATGAGAAAGCACTTGGACAAGGTTCTCACAGCAGGTGGGCCAGCACTGGGCCGAGAGGGAGCAGAGGGGAGATTAGTGTCAGCTTTGGTCTGAGCCTGGGGACTCTCTGCCATGTGTCCCTGGGATTCTCCCAGCATATTCTGGGGAGCAGCCAAACCCTGGTCAGGAGGCTTCTTTATGCTCTGCCCACTATTTCCCCACTTAAGTGACCATGAAGGTTCTCAAGGGCAGAGCTGAGGCCAGTGATTCTGTGACTGGAGCAGGCAAACCGCTTTGTGAGAATGTGTTTCAAAGGCGTGTGCCTGCCTCGCCCACCAGGCGCTGTGTTCCCCACGCTGCTGGGTACTCCAGGCAAGCTGGTTGCCTCAAAGATTCAAGGTAAGGCTGTCCTTCTAAATGACTTTAGGATGACTGCAAAAGATGACACAAGGCAGCTATTTAAAAAAGAAAGAAGCTAGTTTTTATGTAGCAACAAGACAAGATTATTGTTAACTGAAAAAAGCAAATTAAAGAGCAGTACATGTATTGAGATCTTATTTGTGAGTGTTTTAAATACATATACTCAGATATATATGTGTAGACACACCACAGACTTCCATCCACAGAGACACCAGGAATCCCCCACCCCGACACCCGTCCCCACCCCCACAACACAGGAAGTCCGCAGGAAAACACCAAACACCACATTGTTAGCAGCTACTTCTGGAAAGAGAGACAGAAAGTGATGTGGGTGAGGGAACTTTTACCTTTCAATTTTTACTATATATGCTTCCATACTAAAGGGATTTTTACACCAATGTCATCATTTCAAATTTAAGGAAAGATTTATATTCTAAAATGTAGTGAATCAAATCGGCCACTGTGAGCATGTCCTGTGAACATGTGACAGATTACAGAAGAGCCCATTGGATCAGGAGGGCCAGGGTGCCGTCTAGGCGGCCGGAGGCGGGGGGACGTGCTGGGCTGTGGCAGGGAGTCCAGTGACTGCAGCCTTGGATGGCCGGGACCTCGGTAGCTCAAGCGGAGTGGTGGTTGTGTTTGTGTGCAAGTGTAGAAATGTAGGACAGGAGCCTGAGTGGAGGTAAGCAAGGGCGCCCCTGCCGGCCCCTCGGAATATGGCGTTGAACCCAACCTGCCTCTGACCTCTTCTCTTCCACTGGGGGACTGGGGGACAAATGAGCCAGGGTTCCAGGGAAGGCCCGCCCTCACATGCCCACAGACCCCATCACATGCCCACAGACCCCACAGACTAGCCACCAGCATGCACACCCCCCTGGGAGGGCGGCTTTCCCCCTCCCCCTTGCTGGGAAACCCTTCCAACATGGATCCCTTTTCTCCCAGCCTGCAGGTTACAAGGAACAGTCCTTTCTTGTTGGTACCTACAGATTCTCTTCCTTCTTTTTAAACCGCTGCGTCCCTTCTCAGTTCGTCCCAGGAGGGCAGGCTTACCTGGAGTCTTTGAGGGAACCAGCTTCCCTAGAGGAATGAACTTCGTTTCGTTAGAATGAGGGTCACCTGGAAACATCAAATACCTCTGGATGGGACAGGCCTGCATGAGGTGGCCCGGGGGGAGGAAGCTGGCAGCCCAAGGGTCCGAAGGGGAGATGGAGGGAAGTGGAGGAGGCACTCTAGGCTATTTTGAGCCACTGGCCCCGGGGCCCTGCTGGGGTTACTTGGAAACCACCTCCCATGCCCTCCCCTTCCCTCCCCGCGCCCAGGTCCTGAAGGCCCTGGACCCTAACCTTGCCCGCTCTGCGTCCACCCTTTGTTAGTCATCCAAAAAACTTGGGTAAAGCCATGGATTATCACCCTTAACCCGTCGGTGTGGGAAACTAGATGATTTGGGAACAAAGCTAGCCCTTTGCTGCTACGTGGAGGCAGGAGTAGAGGGTTAGTTAAGCGCACGAGTTTTGTAGTCAAAATGTCAGTTAAGAAACCAGCTGTGCCTCTTCCAAGCTGACCTCTGAGCTTCAGTTTCCCCGTGTAAAATGTGACACTAATGATGTCTGTTTCTCTGGGGGTGTTGTGCGGATTGCGTGAGAACCGGAGTAAAGTACCTGGCCGATGCCCTGTGGGACTTCCCGTCTAACAGAGCCGTGGCGCCACCTTGTGGCTGCCGCCTCGCAGAGCAGCCCGTCAATCTTACTCAAATCCAATGACCCTTTTTCAAATGCTTATAAGCAGGCCGTGCTCCGTAAAACTCATTTTTGTTTAACCAGGCACTCTGTAATGGTAAGTATGGTGTTGGTGTCTAGTAGAGCACCTTAGAAAGATTTTAGAAAGAGATGCTGGAGAAACATCGCTTGGGAGGACTCTCCCTGCCCCCCATCAGAGACCCCCTTCTAATCTACCATCATTGCCCAAATACCCCGACATGCTCCCAGATTTAGAGGTGAACAGGAAACAAGGTTTTTTACTGGCTTTATAGTGGGTTGAGAGGAGACCCTCACAGACTACAAACTTCTGTGCGCAAGCCTTTGCCTACTTTCAGGTTCCGCCGTGTTGCATCTCGTTATGCTCAACTTCCACTTCCCCTGCTGGTATCCTCTTCCCTTCTCTCCCCACGACTCAAGCCCCCTTTCCTTTTCTCCTCCACCCCCCAGCTCAACCTACCATCCCGCCAGCCTCCTTTTCCTGCGGCACTGACCATCTCTCCTTAAAACTGCACCCCACTCCCTACTCCCCGCCAGCGTCATTCTGCTCCTTAGCACCTCTCAACAATCCTTCCCCACTGAATGGCATCTCCACGAGGGCAGGGCTTTCATGTCCCTTCCCGCTGTACCTTCAGCCCCTTAAACAGTGCCCGGCTCATAGTAGGTGCTCACCAATTGTTTATTGATTGAATGAATAAAGAATGAAAATGATGAAAGTGGAATCTAAGATGGGGAAAACTAGAGGAGCTGTCTCAACATGCCCCGATTTAAAAATGAAAACTTGCATTCCCAAACATAGGAAAGGGTTTCCTCTTGCAAGAGTGCATCACAGAGGCCCCACACATGCATTCAGAAGGGCCTGGCACCTGGGGTTAAATGCTCTGTCGTTGTAGTCTTGGAATTCTTAATAGTTGTGTCTTTGAATTTCTGTTTTGTAAATTAAGTCCAGTGGGACAATGGTGCAGGTGTAGGGGCTGAGAGCCTCAGGTCAGGCATGGTCTGCCTCCCAATACCAGCTCCCCCACTCCTGGTGTACCAGGTCCTACCCCACCTTCTCTCCCTGCTTGCGCCCCGGGACCACTGCCACACTCTGCACCTGAAGGGCCTGGCAAGGCAAGGGGAGGGTCAGAGACATGCACTGGTGCCTGAAGCATCTCAGGACAGTATATGGCAGTAGCTGCCACCTAATGCCTTTCCACCTCCTGAGGCTGCCAGCCCCCAAGGTGTGGCTGGTGGGCTGCCAACCAGTGGCTGTATCTTGACGGGGTGACCCAGATACAAAGAAGTCCCAGTTTTGGAGGTGTAAAGATCCTCGGGGGGACCTGTCTGCTGTGGTTGGGGCAGTGGGCCTGATGGAAAGGGAGACCCCTGGCTCGACTTCTCCAGCCTGGCAGCGTGTAGGTCTGGTGGCTGGCAGGAAGGGAAACCACGCAAGCACAAGTCAGGGGGCCCAGATGCCTGCCACAGGATCTGTGTGTCTCTCCTGGCCAGCTTGAGGCACTCTCCCAGATGAGCCACCAAACATGAATTACCTTATTTCAGTGATTTACACATGAGCTAAGTGTGCTATTTGCATTTAAAATTGGCATCACACAACAGAAAAGTTGAATAATGAAATCATGCTGGTAATTTACAATTTTTTCTTTTGCTTAGGACATTAAATAGCAAACCACACCGCAATAAACAGAGAACTTGGAAGAAAGGACAAGGCTTTTGTATGTACCTTTAATGTTTTACGCTTTTTGAGCAAGGAGCCTGAAATTTCTATTTTGCTCTGGGCCCTGCAAATTATACTCAATATTTATGTCCAAGAGGCCCTGTTAGGATTAATCACAGGTATGCCACAATCAGCTTCTGTGTTTCAACATCATTTTTCTTGGATGGAACTACATTACCAACTATATAATAAACCTGTAATAGCTAATAAAGGAGCAATCTCTTCCCATGTATTATTACCCCTTCCTAACTTGGTCTCATTTCATTAAGCTGAAAAGAATAGCACTGCTAGGAAAACATCACATGAAAAATGTGATGGGCACAGCAGGGACTAATTCCTATTCAAAATCAGACATATCTTAAAAACAACCCATGGAACCCCAAATCAGTTTCCTTTGAGAGGGGGCATGTTCTGACAAGTTTTAGCTTAGATCGGTGTCTCCAGTGGCGTTTTGCTGCAGGAGCTGCCCTGTGCGCTGTAGATGACGGGCAGCACTCCTGGCCTCCACCCCCTGGATGCCAGAAGTACCCTCCCCCCGCTTCATCCCCTCCAGTCTCCAGATACTTCTTCTATCCTGGGAGGGGGTGGGGGGGGGCACAACTGTCCTGGTTAAGGACCACTAGCCTACACGGGTGAGCGACATGGGAATAAAGGGCCATGAGCATCAGATCCACCATCGCTTCCCTGCCCTCTAATGCTGTGAATCACAAATGCAGAATCCCTCCAACTAAGATTAGCAAATGCAAGAGACATAAGCACAGGAAAACTAAAGCATTCCTTTATTTCGCGAGAAAGAGATAGTAAACGACAGCCAGCTTATATACAGTTAAATACAGTAAAAAGGGAAAAAAGAATATACACATCACAATGATGGATTTCCACCAAAGAGGAGATTTGCCCTAGAGCAGTAGGAGATTTCTAAGCAAGAGGTCAAGGTATTCAAGACCTGTCTGCATCCCGCTACATTTTCTAAGCTCAAGAACATTAAAAACCTCAGACTTAAACTTGAAATCTAGATCTGGCCATTGTTAAGCACACCACTCATTTAAAACTTCTCAGTCAATGCTACTCCTGGGTGAATATTTTTTTCGTAAAATTATTTTTCTCCAGTATTTAGAGTGTAACACTTAATGTTCCAGTAGTAATCACACACAGAATTAAAAGCCCAAACCACCAAGAAAGTGTCATCCTATAAAGTGTTCTTTAAAAAAGAAAGAAAAATGAAGGGTGTGGACACATGCACAATTGTTGCTGAAGAACAACAAAAGCAATTGCAAAATATCACTCTTGCTATACAAAAGGCATGGCTCATGGAAGCCAGCATATCAAGCCACAGCAGCGGAACACGGATCTTTAAAGGGCTGGCAGAACTAAAAACTACACCCAGTCCTACGTCTCTGCGAGGCTAGCGCATGCCCAGAATCTGTCTGCTTTTCAGCTGGTAATTTTTTTCCATGTCTGACAGGGCTTGGGCCCGCAGCTGCGCAGCGTGAAGCCTCTTTTTCAGGTCTTTGCACATGGATTTGGAGGTGAGCTGACCCTCAGAATTCTCACTCGGGACGTTTTCTTTACTTTCCCCACCAAAATGAACTTTCTTCTTAATTACCGAGGATGGAAGATCAAAATGTTCTTTGGAAAGAAAAAAGGGTTTTGAGTTACTCGAACAGGAGTTCTTATCAGACTTACCAAGAATATTTGCTCTTCCAGTTGACATTTGAAATCTGGATACCTGTCTTCTTTTCCGTGGGACAGGTTAGGGGCATCCATCAGCCTTCCAACCCAAGGCACTGCAAAAATAATTCTGGAGGATGCCAAAAATCAAAGAAGACATTTATTCTCCTAACAATCAGCTTTTCTCTTAAGGTTTAATGGACTGAGGATTACGAGCCACAATATAAAACTCCTGGAAATCAATGTTATTAATCTCTATTTTTGAAAATGAGTGCCATTTTACCTAGATGATGTTACTTCCAGAAAAGCATGGAAGCAGAAGCTTTCTTACTGAGAGCACCTACAGTTTTCATTAAATATTCAAGAACACTTATTTCAAAGTAGCTTAACTGACCAGAAACTTGCTTCAAAAAGAACCTAGGCAAATTCAGCAAGGAAGAGGTAAATCAATTTAACAGTGTAGGGAAACTGCTTTTCACATGAAAAACTCACTGCAAACACCTACGCTCTTAGCTGCTGACAGAACTATCTGGGGGTTGGGTCCTTGCAGGTTTGAATTCCAAACCTCTTTGTTTTTCCTTTGTGTTTATTTAAAGGAAATACACTCAAATATTTACTGAGCTCACTGTATGGGCCACGGTGGACCAAACAAAGGGCCTCCGCAAGTCAGAGGAGGCAGACTATTATAACAAACAGGCACACGTGAGGAGCATTTGTGAGGAAACCTAACACTGAGAAAGGGAGACAGAAGTGGTGGGTGGTGTTTTGCAAGGATGAAAGCCTCTTAATAAGGTGACTTCTGAGCAGGGATCTGATGAAAGTGAGGCAGTAAGAAGCCACGTGGGTAACACTCCCGGCCAAAGAGAGGGCCAGACCCTGAGGCAGGAGCAGGCCACACAGAGAGACACGGCGCTCCAGCTGTCGCCTGACTCCGTTTCATACACTGCCTCAAACCTGACTGCTTCAGACCCTAATTCCGCTGTTCCAAACACGTCCACGTTGTTAGCACAAATACCTGCACATTTATAAATCAACAATGTAAACTGTAAATCTTACTAGTGGGATAGTTTTATAATAAAGAAAAGTGTTTAGAAAAAGAATTAGTATTTCATTCAATAGATTAAGAAGAGCTTTAAAAAGGAGAAGCTGTTACAGTGATGGCCGCCATTAGTTCCGTTTTCCTCCTGCCTGAAGTTTATAGCCCACGGACTGGGGACAGGATAGTTCCAACAGTCCTGACAGGGGACAGGATACTTCCAACAGTCCTGAGCTCACCATTGCATCCCCTCCCCACTGCCTGGGGGCTTATCTTGTTGAGTACCTACACACTCAGTACTTTAAAAGATCTCTTACCCTGTAGACACTCAATTCCTTCAGCTCCTTTTAAGTATTTGCCATGACTTGCACAAGGCAGATTCCTAAACCTGTCTGTGTGTCCTAGGAAGTGAAATGCATCGTCCCTCTCTAGCTCTCTTCATCCTTTACTCAAAGGCGCTCGGGCCAAGCTGAACTGGAAAAGCCATTCCTGCTAGGCTTTCAGTGATTCTCTGCAATAGGTTGATGCATGAAACTCAGATAAAAATTTCTCATCAATCTGCCACAGTTTTGTTTCTATGAATGAGTGTGGAATCTAAGAAAAGCTGAAATAAATACTATAAAAATACTGAAATGGTATTTTAACAGAGATGAAGCCAAAGTTTGATATGATCCTTATTTAATTCTATCACTAGTGTCATTTATCTCCATCACTTATTACTATAAAGTACTGTGATCACCAAACTTAGTTCTTTTGTCTATTCTGTTTACAAAATGCTGTCATGCTCACAAAAGTGACAAGATTCTTTCAATTTATTCAAGACAGAAATGACAGCCTTTATACGTGCCGCCCTTCAGGGAAGGGTGACCCATGAAAACTCAAATTTCACTGTAAACTCAGACTCAAATTTTAAAATCAACAGAAACTTTATATATAACAATTTGTGTCATAAAGAAATCAAGAGAAAAGATTTTAACACTTTGCACTTTCCATACTCTTAAGTAGATTAAGTCAGACAAAGGGTTTCTGTGAAGTGGAGAAAACTTGTCAGAGGTGGTCCACTGGTAGGCACACCGACCAGGTGTCCACAGAGCGGAGCGATGGGACAACGCCCACCCAAAGGCAGGGGCCCTGGCAGGCTGACTGTCTGTGTACCAGGGAAACACACAGAGCACGTGGATATTAAACAATCAAGTTCTGACAAACACGTTTCAGTGTGCGTGGGTTTTAGCAAAGATCCCCGGCCCATTCTACAGGTGCTTTATCACACTTTGGGCCGTACTGTCTATGAAGGACGTGGTGTGTATTATTTAGTCGTGTGCCTATAGTAAAATGCTAGGATTTTTGCTCACAAATGGAAAGAAATGTAGTTTTCATAATACACCCAGAGAAAAATCTGAAATGCATAGCATTTCTTAAAAGGTGTCAGCTTTAAAAAATAAATATCAAATACTACACATGTAGTTTGATGAGGCAAACAAAATCAAAGATAAAATTCTGACTCACTGCCTCAGGACTGTGGACCCAGCCCGTAGTAAATCACGGCTCTAAATGGAAAGCTTATTTTCATTGAAATGAAGATTCTCCATTAACTCCATCTCAGAGCTGGAGACTCCCTAAATGAACAGGGTCAGCAAATCCCTGCTGGGCCAGCACCCAGTCTCCGTCGGGGCAGCAGCCCGCGTTGACGGGGCTCGTTCCCGTTCCCGTACCTGGGCCGCACGCCGGAGGCAGGGCCGGGTGCTGCTTCAGCAGGCTGTGGTTCCTCATCAGAGTCTCCGCTCTCGCCAGCTTGTCCTCCGCCAGCCGCTCACGAACACAAAGCTCACGCTCCTTGTCTTTACAAAGGGCATGGAACGAGAAAGAAGAACTGAGTACGCGGCTTCGGACATCCAACAAAGTACATTTGCTCCTCTTCCCGGTGACTGAGCGCGGCGGGCCGGGCCACCCGGCGAGGAGCGCTTTGCGCGGGGCCTCCTCGGCGTGTACAGCGGCACCTACCGCGCGGGGTTCCCGGGCGGCGCGCTGGGACGCTGCATGTTGTCCTGGGCTTAGTAAGGACTGGTTTAAGCGCAGGCACAGCGTTAGCTCCAACCTCGGGTCATGCTGTGGGGAAGGAACTCACTTGGGAAAACAAAAAACTAAAGCCATCTCTGTCTCCCCTGACAACGGGCGCCAGCGGTTCCCTGTCCAGCTGTTACCCGGCTTCACAGGATAAACCCTCCTTCTCCTGAGAAGGGCAGCACCCACGGGGAAGGGAAGGCCACAAGGTGGGGGGCTCTTCTTTACATCAGTGACAAAGGCTAGTATTTATTCAAGGCCCAGGATTTAGAAAGCTCAGATTTCGGTTGTTACTATGAAATTACAAAACGCTGGGAAAGTTTTAATAAGTCTTGGGTTTTTTTCTTTTTTGTTGTTGTTCGGAATTCTTCTGACAGAACAGTCAGAAACAGGTGTCCCAGTAAGCATATGTTATACCTCTACAGAAAGCCTACCTCACAGTACTGTACAATTTTCATTGGGAAGTGATGCATCAACTCATGCACTGGACACTTTATAAACACATTTAAGTAGCAAAAACATTATATATAAGTCTGCGTTGGGCATAAAGCCGCAGAAACTCTTATCAGGTGAGCTGCACGGGTCACGGCCCCGCCTCTCGTCCCTAATGCTGAAAGGCAGAGCCTCTCGGCTGCTGCTCCTGCTGCCGTTCTAAAGCCTTGGCACAGCTCTCACTTGATGGAGTAGACAGACCTGCAACACCGAAAACGAACTAGCTCCCAATCACCTGACACCCACCAGAGTATCTTGTACGTAAAACACCCTGTACTCATTCTCATCTGAACTGCCCGAACGTATTTAGTGCTGCATACTACAGACTTTCAGAGCTGGACTGTGTGGGATCAGCCAGATCGGCAGGTGGAAGTAGTGGTTTTTATTATTGCACCTTCCTTTCCAAAGGAGAAACTTCATAGGGTTGCATGCATTATGGAGCACAAAGAGAGTTGCTCTGCAGGGAAGTGTGGGGCCCCTGTGTTGGGGCCCCACAGTCAGCGCCCAATGGCATAATGAGAGCACCTGATTTCGGAGAAGGGACTCGACATGAAGGTGCCCGCAAGCTTGCTTTACACATTTTACAATAGGTATTTTGGTTTCTCAAGTATTCACAATATACACATATATAAAATACTCCATTCAAAAAGATTTTCACACATCAAGTAACCCCTGCAGCTCTCTTTGGCTTCCCCCTGTTGAGACTCACACTCCAGCCTTTCTTCCCTTGCTTTGAGGGCCCACTCTCGCTCCTGTAACTGTATTTCCTTTAGCTTCAGCTCGCTCAGCACGGGGCTGGACTCCTGCGGCTTCTCTGGTTCTTCTAATCGTCGCCCCTTTCTCTCCGGATTTCTCCTCTGCTCTTCCGCAACCAAGTCTGCTATTAAAGGATTCTCCAGGATTTCTTCAACAGAAGGGCGGTAGTAATCCTGGGGAAAAAAATATTCAGTGTTACAGTCAGATTTCACACCAGAGTACTCATCCAAAAAGAGCAGTTAAGTTAAAAGTATATGTATTTCCAAGGCAAAATATCAACCCCCTGAAAGACGTTCCCTGGAGGTTTGAACTCTGCGATCCTGGGCCCACGAGGCCATGAGGGTTTCAGCCCTCATTTGTTCCCCGTGGCCTTCCTAGGAAGCTGGGAGCTCAGTGCCCGTGCTCGGCGGCATTCCTAGGTCTGTCCTGGGGCGAGCACTGCCCTTGTGTCTCTGGACTTCAACAGCATCCTCTCTCACCTCTCCTGTTACTTCGCCTGGATCCTCCTTTGCCATCCCACAGCATTTAACTTCTACTCTGACATCTGCCTGGCCTTATACATCTCCCTTCCCATCCCTTGGCCACATTTTTTCCACATAATCACTTTATTCAAGTTGTTTTCCCTCAACATTTTTTAGCCACCCCCACACTCCCCAACACACCCCTGTCTCTGGTCTCTAATCTCTCAGCTGGAGTTAGAGGCAGAGTAATAAAGTCCTCCTTCCAACCCCCTCCCTCACCACCTGCCACTCTGAGGTAGGCAAAGAAGGGGAACTGATGACTCGAGTCCTTTTTGTCACCAACTGTGTTAGGATGGCAGAGTGGGAGCAGACATAAAGAAAGCACAGAAGGTAGCCAGCAAGGACGTGCAATTTTCCAAATTTACATGATGTTTTCACTTGTCTTAACAGAGTGGATTTACCTAAGGAGATGCATTTAATGTTTCTTCAGTCTCATTGCTCTATGAGAGGGAACATAACACTCCAAAGAGTTATGGAGAGAAACAGGAAATATATAATTGTACAGACTTTACCTTTAAATTTAACATCCTCGTAATAATGTCATTCAATTCATCAGAGTAACGATAAGGAATTCGCCTGAATTTGCCTTCTCTGATCTTTCCAGCTAGTTCTTTCTGGTTGAAAGCTGTGAATGGAGGCCTGGAGAACAGGGGGGAAGGGAGGAATTTTTCTTTTTATGAAAATATATCACAGAAACCAAATCGAGGCATAGTTTAAGTTCCAGTTTATATTTACATTTCTGATTTTGAGATTTCCTTCTGTGGCTAATCTTGGCCCTACTGACATCTGGGGTCATGTATTTTTTTGTTGTGGGAGCTGTCCTTGCATTGAAGCACATTTTACAGCATCCCTGGCCTCTGTCCACCACGTCTATGAAACTGAAGACCAAAAATGTCTCCAGACATTGTCAAATATCCCATGGGGGAGCAAAACAGATTCCCCCTCCCCGGCTGAGAACCACTGCTCTACACAGTAGTTAGAAGGGATAGAGGTAAAAGGTGAAAAGTGAAGGAACTGGAGTTCTTTCTTGCTCTCCAAGTCCCCAGACCTCTCCCCAGGTCTTTGTTCGTTTCTCCACATCCTGACAGCACATTTCTGTTACTGGCCTGACCTACATGCTCTCGCCTTGAGCTGAGTGCCTTCTAACAGGGGAGCACGGAACCAGGTTAGAAGCTTGAACAAGTCCAGATCCAGATTCGTGGGTTATACTATTAATTTGTAAGTTATATTTCTAATCTGTCCATTTACCTTAATTTTAACCCGGGTATAATTCTTGTAGATTTGAACATGCACTCATGCTCAGAAAGCTGAACCCAGTGAAAGGTGACAAACCTCTGGTGTGAACTTCAGACTAGAAATCTGTCTTCATCATACTTACATTAATGCACACAGTTCATAGAGCAAACAACCTAGTGACCAGATATCTGATTTCTCATTGTAGGACATGCGACTCATTTGTTCCTTAGGGGAGAAAAGGGCAAGAAAGTAGAAGGTGTTAAAGGTCTATTTTGTTTTAAAACTTGTAAAATTACCCCAGAGACAAAAACAGAACCTTAAAATTTGGTAATAGTCACTCCAGAAAAACAAAGGAAAAAATTTTACATCATAGATATTTATCTGTAACAAAAATTTCAAATACAAAGGCTGATTCAGCTTATGTCAGAACTCGTATCATAGTAACAGGAGATGGTATTCTCTACCGTATCTTCAAATTTATAATGGAAGAAAGGCAATGATCTTACCCTAATATATTTCATCATATATGATGCATTCACAAATATTAAAGTGTTAGTGTAACAAGGCACTGGCAATTCAAAGGTGAATATGAGACCTCTACCCTCTACCCTTGAAGGCATTCATAATCTAGAAACTCCATTTTAAAAGAACCAGAAAAAGATCCCAGAATAACCAAGATGTATATCTAGCCTGTATTTAAATGGATATAGACATAAATGACTGAATTATTCATGTATATATTTTTCCCTTAGTCCACTGTATGAACCACAGAAATACTCTCATTTTCTATGTTAATGTTTGCCCTTCTTCCACACTTACAGTAACACCTGTACACCCTGGCTCTTATTTTCAAATGAGGACACAGAGGCAAGTGCCAAAATTTACAGATGGCTTCTTAGTGTTTTAAAGTCTAGCAGGTGAGTCTAATACCACTTCCCAACAATCAATGCCTTAGGGAAGGCTGAACCTGTCTAATTATAAGTGCAGGAGGGAAAACGAACAAAAGAATTACAAAGGTTTCAAATTTTCCAAGAACCACTTCCGGAGAGTTTTCCTTTATGGTAAAGGCTTTTTATTTGGAATTTGATCCACTGAGAAAATGACACTGTTCTGGCCATGTCTAATCTTAGCAAAAACATCATCATTAATTTATAATAGATCAGTTAACATAACTAAAAGAGATTTAGAAAATCCTAGAAATGTTTGTGACCTGCTAAAAATTAAAAAATATCTCTTTTTTATCTGCTTAGATTTCATCACAACACCCCAGTGTTATCACTTACTGATTCGAGCTTTTTAAAAGCCATCAGGCAATATCCAGAGAGTCATGAACAGTTCACGCCCTTTAACCCAGTAATCTCATTTTGATACATGCATCCCAAAGAGAACCAAAAGGATCAAGGGATAATTCTGCAAAGATAGGCATGGCAGTGCTTCCTAGGATGATAAATTTTGGAAACAAAATATCCATCAATAGAGGAAATGGTTAAGGGGGTGGACTCTGCAGCTCACTGTAGGAAAAGGCGCCAAAAAAGAACACACACAAAAAGTTAACACTAAAAATGTGGTATCTGAAGCGAGTGGGCCATGCATCTGCCTACACAAGAATCATCTAGAAAGTCTGTTAAAATACAAGTCCACAATAAAATGTGTGGGGTGCTGTTGGGGAGCAGAGTGCAAGGACCTGTCCAGAAATCCAAATTCACTGGATCTGGGGCCCAGGATTCTGCATTTTAAACCAACACTCCAAATGCATAAACGCTGGTGTCTAGGACCTACGGCACTTTGGGAATTGCTCTCTTGAGGACAGAAACAAAACCTATTTCATCTTTGTAATCCAAGAACTTAGCACTTGGTAGTCATGCAATGAAAGCTCGACTTGGATTGCTGATATAGAGGAGTTTAATGGTCTGGTAGTTCATTTGGAAAATATAAATTTAAAATGAAACAGCCTTATTGAATCCTTGGCCATTGGAGATATTGCGAAACAAACAAAAACTTCAATTTCCTTGCATTTGAATGCTGAGCATTAAGTGGTTAAAAACAAAAATATAAATTTAAAATGAAACAGCCTTATTGAATCCTTGGCCATTGGAGATATTGCGAAACAAACAAAAACTTCAATTTCCTTGCATTTGAATGCTGAGCATTAAGTGGTTAAAAACGTATCTGAATCCTGAAATACTTACAGGAGACATGTAATAAGGCGTGCCAACAAATGTTTTTGCAAAACTCGTATCATGGTTTAAAATTCTGGCTAACCCAAAGTCACCAAGCTTAACATTTTGCTTGCCATCCAGGAAAACATTGGCTGGTTTCAGATCCCGATGCAGCACAGTATGACCACCATCGCTTCGTCTGTGACATTCCTTCAGGGCCAGGGTCAACTGGGTCATCACTCGAAGAACAAACTCTTCATCTAAGTACTGTCTGAAATCAAAGTAGCAAAATGGCACATAACATCTGAATAAAACCATTAAAAAATGAGATGGTGTGAGTAATCTAGTTTTCAAAGTGTATAACAGAGAGATAAATTATTTTGACATGAAATATGGCTGTTGATTCACCAGGGATTTTTCTAAAGTACTGCGAACACACCAAATAAATAGAACACTCATCTACATTACTAAGTACTTTGTCCCTGATCATAAAATAGGATGTTTAAAAGAAACAAAACTCGGTCCACTTTCAGCTCATACTTTAAAGGGTAATTTACCTGTCCTTGGTTCCCTTTGTAATTACACTAGCCAGGTCCCCTCCTTCGCAGTATTCCATTACAATGTACAGTGTTGTGTTGGTTCGGTCAATAATTCGGTCATAGTAACGGACGATGTTTGGATGTTTCAGTTCACGAAGCAAATTCACTTCAGAAACGAGCATTTGTTTCTCGGCTTCTGTCATGGAGCCATAGTCAAGCTCTTTCCAAACTAATAACTGAAATATAGAATATCCAAGGTCTGAATGAACTCAATCTACTCAAAAACAAAGAACGAATGTTCCAAATTAAATTTTTTGAAATGACTGCTTTAGTAAGGAGATCATACAGCCACTGTCATCTAATTTAGCTCAATGAACTTAAGAACTCCTGAGTTTATTTCCATAATCTTCCTCTAATTTTTAAGCAGTCAGTGATGCATGGGGAAAGAAGGGGATAAGGCACGTTAGGACTCCTCTGACCCCCTACATTCAGTTGCTTTGTGAGAGGTTGGCAAAAGGTACTTTGGCCAAAGCTGGGGCAGAGAGAGTCAAAGTCCCACGATTCCAACCAGTCTCAACCTTTTCCAGGGTGAGAGACCGTAGTACGGACCGGTCCCTCCATCAGCAGCCAGCCAGTTTCCACTCTGTTGTTTCTTTCTGTATAGGGTCTACCTACACACATAGGGAAATATCAATCAGAATAATGGACATTTAAAATGATTTCTGACTGCAGGACATCAGGTTCCAGGTTCTGGCGGTCTCGCCCCTTTCTCAGGTCTGGGAGAGCAACTGTTCTCTAAAAAAGCTCAGGAGTTAGCTACCTATCACCAACTAAAGGCCTTCAGCAGGTCGAAACCGGAAAAAGGATGGAAGTAGACAAGGGACAAACAGAAAAAAAAAGATCAAAAGACGCAGTCTCCCATGCCTCGAGTGACCCGGGACAGGCGCAGACCGGGGGGAGACGGCCGAGTCTTCTGGGCACCCTGCCTCCAAGACCCACAGCCCAGACCTCCCGCCTCCCCTCCGCGGCCGAGGGCGCTCCCGCCAAGGCCGGCGACACAGCGGCAAGGGCGGAGCCAGGGAAGGGGCCCGCGCTCACCTTGCCGTCGCTCTTCCTCCGGATCTTCTGGCAGCGGCCGTAGGAGCCCGTGCCAATGGTGTACAGCACCTCATAGTCCTCCGCCCGAGTCGGCATGGCCAGGCCCGCCGCGGGATTCCCGCAGGTCGCGCTGCAGCCCGGAGCTGCATTCACCGACCCAGACCCTCCTGCGAGCCTGCTGCCTGGCCGCTCAGCGTCCAGCCCCGTTTAACCGTCGCGGGCCCGGGACCCGCAATCTATTGGCCCGCAGTGAGGAGATGCTCCTCTCTGATTGGCCCAAAGAAACACAACACCCTAGGCATCCTGGGAAGAGAGTATCGCTAGGCAACCGCGTCGGTGTCGGTGTCCTTTTTCAACCCCTAGAAAGGCGGAGCTAAACCAATGGGAGGGCGGGGCATAGAAAGGCGGCAGCCTGAGGCCTCTGCAACTGTTCCTCTGGCCGAGGTCGCCAAGGTAACCCAGAGTCCAGAGACTTCCCCTCAGACTTTTCACACACTGCCTCAATCACTGCTTTTTCACCTTTGCACTCTGACCCCTTGCACTCTACACTCTTTTCCGTACACGTCCTCCCAGGTTCCGGTCCCTGAGCCTGGGCGGGGTCACTCGGAAAACCTGAGTACAGAGCAGAAGAGCACATTCCGTCGCCGAAGGCGGTGCGGGACTGTGTCAAGCACTTGCATGTTTTATCTATCCTCAATACACACCTGTAAAGCAGGAATTCGTGTTATTATTTCCCACGCGGAAACAGAAGCACAGAAAGGTTCAGTTATTTGCTTTAGATCCAACAACAGCTAGGAAGAGAAGAATCCATACCAAAAGAGTGGCTACTTACAGTAATGATTCAAAGTCTACACATGACTTTAGGGTGCAGTCATCATAGAGCAACAATATTTTTGGACACCAAATTTAGAGTCCTGTTCAACATGCAGACGATGTGTATAATACCTCAGAGTAGAATATGGAAGTCCCTGATGTTTTGGAATATCCAGGAGAATAAGGGGGCTCAAAGGCGGAGACAAGTTTTCACTTTTAAAACTCCTACCAAAAAAAATGTGTTTTATTAGAAAAGACTACCCAAAGGTTATCTGGGATTCCAAGCACGTAATTAGTTGACAATACTTCACTGAAGGTAGCCTCTTTTGGGCACCCATAGCAACTAACATTTTCAGTTCCCTCGGCCAGATGGAGCACTCGCATTTTTACCTGGGAGTTAGGGACCTGGGTGCCTCCATCCAAGGCTGGATGAGGAATCTGTGCATGACGATAAGCCTAAAAATTTGGCAATGCATAAATAGGTCAGTTTTCTTTAAATATATATTCAGCGTGGGATTGAAAGGAACTCGAATTTCTATGAATGAGAATTATAAACCTTTTTGTGTTAAAAATGAGGAATTTACTACATGCACTGAATATAGCATAATTGGAATTGCTAGTCAGGGAAATTTTCAAAGTAACATTCAGGGGCACTGTCTCACCTCAAGGGAATAGGATCAATTTAGGCTTCAGAAGTTATGTAAGGAGCCACACAAGTGGCTAAGTTAGTTGGTATTATATTTTTTAATCTAGTGCCTCTTAAAGATTGGCATCAATGAAGCACTTTGGCTGGCATGCCCCAAATCCAGTCCTGTACCGTCTCTCTGGCCACTCTTCTGTCATCTGCTTTGCTCTAGTTCCCAAAACCCCGCACAATATCTCAGCTCCTCACCACCACCACCTTTGCAACTATTATCCAATTTGTCTGAAACACCGTCCACTCCAGTGCCATATCCACTCCCCAACACCTGATCACATCTGTCTAGAGGACACTTGTCTTTCCAGATTTAATGCCAACTTTCTCACCTCTACTCTTGGAAATCTTTTCTAGCACATTAGAACAAGCAATTCCTCCATCTACAGTGTTCACAGGCCATTTTGTCCATAAAACAATCCTTACTTCGGTATCATTATTTCTTGACACAGGTCTCATAGTAGCTCAACTTAAAGCTCCTTGGAGCCAGAATGAATCCCGTAAGAAAGGAGAAATGTAATAAATATTTATTAAATGAAAATAGGAGAAAGCAGCTTATTAATGACCATGCAAGGATTTGGAGTGAGCCCTCAAGTACTCATGTTTCACATGCCCCAGCCCTTTGGCAGAGACTAAATATTGAGGACAGGGCGATTCCAGGAATATGGAAAGCAGCTCACAGGCATATATATTCAGTCAACAAATATTTATTGAGCACTTACTATATATAAGTACAGTGATAGGCATTGATACAATGGGTATATATTAAAAAGAAACAATGTGGCCAAGATGACAATGATAAAAAAAAAAAAAGCAAGACATAGGCATGTCATGACAAACCCTAACGACCAGCCTGTTAGGCCAATTCACTGAGAGGGAGTGAGGGTAAGGAGAAAGAGCCCTTCCCCCATCACTTCCTCCCTCCTTTCTCCAAATTCTGTCCATTCTTTAAGATTTACTCATGCCCAGCTTCCTCCCTAAAATTTTCCCTGATTGCCTTCAACTCAATGTTGATCTCCTAAGACAGCAATGAACTGTTTTCTTTATTCATTTACAACGTGCTATTAACTGATCTATACTATTAGCTTATCATGCCTATCTATCTTCTCTGACCTAGTAAAAACTCACCCTTCAACAACTAAAAATGGGAGTCCTCCCAGGTACTGAAGACACCCCCTAGTGAGTAGTGTTGGTGAGGGCGGACGTAAATGAACACAAGAATACAGAGAAACGCAACTATTACAAACTGTGGTAAAGTTAAGAAAACAAACCAGGAACTCAGACAAAAACTGAGAAGATTACATTTAAACAGAGAACTAAGAGATGAGCAGCTGCACGAGGGTGGGCTCAAAGCTTAAACTCCTCTCGAACCACTTTCCTATGCATAGGGTCTAATTCACTGTTCTCACAATTTTCTTGTTAAATGTGCTCCTGATGTCAGTTGTCATTTAAATTTTGTGAAATCGCAAATAAAGAGATTATGTGCACTCTGTGTTTTTTGCTCCCAAGTGCTCTACAGGTGTTCCCAGATATACCAACTAAGTTTTCAAACAAGCTGTTTGGTTATCGCCAATTTAACATGTCCAAAAGCAAGCTCTGGATCTTTGCCCCAATATTGTTTTGCCCCATATTTGTTCTTCCTGCTGTCTTCTTTGTCTTAAGTAAGTAATGCATATGATGTTGTTTTTTTTGTTCACTGCAGGATCTCCAGAACCTAAAACATGCCTGGAACATAGTACGCACTCAGTTAATATTTGCAGACTGACTGAATGAACAGAGAATGAAGCCATACTTGATGGCCCTTAGCTTCCCTTTGTATGTTGCACTGAAGACCCACTAGAGGGCTGTAAATCACTGCATTATACCCAGCGAGTCAGGCAGTTGGCACCTGTCCACCTGCAGAGCCAGTCCTGACAGGAAACTCCTGAGATTTGCCTATTGAGTGTTCACATCTCTGATGATGGTTTGTGTATCTTACCTCCACATTTACTTGGAACAGTGGGAAGTCAGGGATCATGGAAATTCTTTAAAGTGCTTAACAAAGATCCCTAGAGTAAAAAAGGAAAGACTCTCTATAACAAGCAGAAGCTAAAAGATGTTAAAGGAAGGTGCATGATAGAGTATGTGGTCCATAAATAATTGTGTTCTAGAAGAAAGAATGAGGTGTTACAGAGACTGGCCCTAATAGCCACATGGACTTGATATAAACAAGAAAAAACTCGGAGGCAGCTTTGGATTTAATGGCAGACAGCTGATGGAAAAGTATAATGAGAAGAAATTCATCACTGAAACCAAAGTATTTAGTTCTGAGTTTCACCACGTTTCAAAGAAGGTTAGTGTCAGACTGGCACCCGTGGGTACAAGTTAGGGGAAGGCTGACTGTTCAATTCAACGATAACCTTGCAGACGGAGAAAGCCATTCATACATTTCACATGATGTTTCATGACATTTGTAAGTTCAGAATATTTGTTATCTCTAAGAATATTGATAGATAAATTGGTTAAGAAGAATGTTAAAACTGATCATGGATGTTGAGGCCATAATGTGTTTCTAAGGGACTTCAGGAGCATCTAGAGAACACTCCCAATTTTCCCTTCAGGGACAGCACAGTTAGATTGTGAGAATAGTGGAGTCAGGTCTAGGAACCCGGCCTGCCTAGCTCTGATCTGAAGACCTCTGGGACCGAGGGAACCCGCTTCACCTCTCCAAGCCCTATAAATGTGGGCGCTAAATTAAGTGACCCTTCCACCTTTCCCTGTTCTGGTTCTATCCCCTCTTCCTGAAAATTCCTTGGAACTGATATCAGAGCCAGAATACTGGCCTGTTTAACCCTTGGTTTGACCCCAGATGACAGTTTTTATTAAGTCTGCATTAGCTTCCTCAACGTCCCTTCTCTTCATCCTTTACTTTTACCAGCACCATTTATTGAGTGACAGACACCGTGGCAGGTGGAGACAGACAATGAAAGATCAGACCTTGACCTCAAAGAGGCCCACCCTGGGCAGAGGAGACAGACGTAGGTCAGCTATCCCCGGGCAGTGTGAGAATCACTCGGAAAGACCTTTGCCTTAGTGCTAAAGGAGCCCCGAGGGAAGGAGCCCCGAGGGAGGGGGCAGGGAGGGCAGGTAGGAGCAAATGTGCCCGGGGAGGTGACATGTGACCTACATCTGAAGAGTGAGTGGCCATTAGGAGAAAGGGGACTGTGAGTAAAGGCACAGAGACCTGTGGGGGCCTCAGGTACATGTTGTTACCTTGTGAAATAGGCAGGCAGGTGAGCAGGATGACCCAAACATTTAGGCAGTCTTCTGAAGGTGATGGAGTCCCTGAAGAAGACAAATATTTGAGCAGATGAACATTACCTATTTGTGCTCTAGAAAGATCAATCTGGGAACAGTGCAGAGAAGGAATGTGGTGGGACAGGAATATGTGTGGGAGCTTATGCTGGCAACCCACGGGAAAGTGGGACTGACGGGGCCAAGGCGATGGCCGTGGGGAGGAGGTGGGAGGGCGCCCCCAGTCGCCTGGGAGGTAGATGTGAGGAGATGCAGTGGACTCCATGTGGGGGGTGTGGGGAGGACAGCTGCCTCGAGAGACCAGGCAGATGAGTGGTGTCCTGCGCTTAGGCTGAGTCCAGGGGCCCCTTGGGGAGCTGGCCAATGGGCAGTTGGATACAAAGTCACAACAGAGTGGTCTGGGCTGGAGACAGAGAGCTGGGAGTAGGTGGTGATAGAAACCAGGAATGAGGAGGAATATGCCCCAAGGGTGGCAGAGCAAGAAAG